AAAAAGAAAGTTAAGCATCTTTAAGTATAATTTCTGGACTAAAAAGAACTTTAATCCAGCTGACTCTTAAGTTTTAAGTGATTTCTGAAACACCCTAACCTAACTTTTCAATGTCCCTGAAGAGCATTTCCTAATCTACCCCTAAATTAGGGGGCGTACACCCTCTTTTCCCTGACACTGTTTAGTTCTAAACACATATTTGCTTAGATGACTGTGGTGTTGCGCTTGTGGGCGTGTCATTACCTCTGCGCCACTGCGATAACCAACCTCATCAGCGCCCAATGCCGGCGGCGATTTGTTTTACATTCTGTTGCCTCTCGAGACCAAAAAACAGCCAGCCACCTGACCCACTCAACCACTTAGCCAAACAACCAACCAGCCAACCAGCCAGCCCACCCACTTAGCAACCCATTCTGTTTTTGGGGTGAGGGTAGTTTGGTAGTGCGTGTGTTTGTCAGTTCGTTGGCAGTTCACAAAAATGGCATCCCCCATTCCCCCCTTAAAAAGAAAATATGGCAAAAAGGAAAAAAAAAATAACTAAAGCATATGCAACACAATTTTTCATGGAATATATCAAACATGGAAATTTGATTGGTTTCTGCTCTCAACAGATGCACCAACATACAAAGTGCATTTGCGCTGCAATTTCTCAATGGCGAGAGTGAAAAACCCAAGTCGCCTAAAAATGCACGGTTATGGAAAATATGAAACGACTATTAGATGCCCATTGGTGAGGAAGCAAAGAAGATTGTAGTTTTCAAGGGTATTTTGTGAAATATTTTATGCAGTCCTTACTAATTTATGAAAATTTTAGCCCAATTCAGTTTGTTTAATCGAAAAGAGATACCTAATGCTCGTAGCATAAAACTCACTACTGGTCAGCTTTTTTCTGTTATGCCTTTTATTCTCACATTCGCTTCTCTTGAAAGTCAAAAACAAAGTCCCCCTTCAATTTTTGTTCATCCCTCTTTTCCCTTATCCGTAAGCGAGATAGATGTATATACAAAACGATCTCTAACAGCTAACTTACATGATAGAAAGAGATAACAGTATATAAGGATAATATTTACAGCTAAGTTATTTCTTAATATGCCTTACAGTGGTTCTCATACTTATACGTTATGCTAAAAATTGTACAGTGGGCCTTAATAGTACTTGTCCTACTTTAACAGGGTATCCCCTTAGTCGATTTCTAGAGCCCCCGGCTAAACCCCTTCATATTCTGCCACTTTGTCTTGGCCGTTCGCACACAGAACGCAATTTATTATGCAAAATCAAAATATGTTTGCCAACTCACACACACACACACATGCGAGAGAGAGAGTACAAAAAAAAAAGAAGCAAAGAAAAGCTGCAGCAGCAGCTGGCAAGAGGAAAAATGTTGGAATTTTTGTGGGAAAGCAGGAACTTTCGATGAGTTGGAAATTCTTCTTCTCTGACCAAACTGACACGACGCCAAAGTCCATTGTTGTTGGGGGCTCCGGATATTTTTTATAAAATAATGTCAACAAAAATCCAATTTCCTTTTACCTTCCCGTTTGAATATTGCGCATACTTATAGAGGTAAGCCAGGTGTCCAGGGTCCAGGTTGCCGCGATTCGAGTCCCTTTTTACCCAGCCAAAAAGTTTGGCTAGTATATTATGAATGCAGGATGCACGAAGAGAGATCGAGTAAGGTCTGTGCCGAGGTGCATTTGACATTTTACTGGGATTTCGTGACGAGAAGGAGCCACGGATATGGAACCACAGAAGCCAGGAATGCATTTCCCGCTCGGCTGCACGTTTTCTGCTTGTTTAGTTAAGCGCCTTGGCGTGCCATCTACGTGCCATGCACTGCAAGAAATTCCCACGCCCCCTGCCATCGATTAGCATCCGCCAGCATTATTTGCCTTTTGTGGAAAGTGAGAAATTGCCCGGATGGTTTTAATTTATTCCCCGATTGCATGCAACACAACTTGTTGAGCGGGTTAACTGGGTTAAAGCCAAAAGAGAGTGGTTTTAATGGTAATATGAAAGTCCATTTACCTTTTCAATGGCTTTTAACAAATTTCTTTTATGGACTAGCTTAAATGTTTATTTTATGTATTTTTAAAGGGTTAAGGAATGTGTTAATTGGGTTTCAATAATATTTAAGATGCGTGAATATTAAAATAAAAATATTATACAAAAAAATACAAGAAAAAGTACAATAAAAATCTTACAAATTCCCCTAAAAAACTGTATTCGATCATCGACGTTGCCCTCAAGTCAATTGCCAGAGATTTGTATTTGTTTTCATCATAATTTTGTGCGGTTTGGCTTCCGTTGCAGTTTACCGTTCGAGCGGCATATCCGCTTTCCTTTTTCCGCCGCACTTCATCATGGCGGAAAATCAGGACGAAGGGGGAAGCCCACGAAGGAAACTCGAGACGTAGCTCGCGCACACGATTATTGTGTATTGTTATAATAAAGTTCAGCTTCATTTCCTCTGCCGTTCGACGGTGGAGCTTCCATTTTTCATGCCCCATGTTCAAGCCATCTTTGCCGCACGCTCAAGTGCGTCTAAGTATGCGAGTCCTTTTGTTGTCCTCCGGCGTCCATGGCCACGGATCCATGGATCCTTGCACTTAATTTCCCCCCATGTTCACATGGCTGCTCCTCGACCATCGCCATCGCCATCGGAGAAGTGTTTGCCCTGCACTCCAGTTTTTGCTTAAGTTTGCCCGAGACTGTGCCACCTGACCTTCGCTTCGGAATCGAATGGGGGGGATGCCTTGGGTTGCAGGAGATGCTGGGCATTAAATGGCCTGGGATGGCGTGTCGCAGGCCCATTTCCCCACACTGGCTTTCTCCCTGTAAATTGTAATTTATTTCAATCTTATTTTAATAGATATTTATGCTTTGTTTTCCATTCTTCGTGCGGCGCATTTAATGCTTACATTTCCGGACATTTCAATAAATTAAGTTGCCCCTTCTCCATCTCGACGTTGTTGTTGTTGTTGCTTCTCTGCACTCGATTTGTTGACAGTTGGAAATGGAATTGCTGAAATGGGAGTCGGATTTCAGGTCGCCTTAAGGCTGTCTCTTTCAATGCACACAGTGCGTATGATCGATTTTTGGTGCGTTAATATATCAGACTTTAAGGCCATTAAGAGTGGCATGTAGTTAAGCAAATGCTGGGAAAATTTAAAGAGCATTGGCTTGAGGTTTATAAAATAATATTAAAGAATTCAATATATGAAATATTTTTAACCATTTGAATTAATAAAATTGATCCCATTCACCTTACCTAAACTTAGCACTTACCATCCAAATTTGCCATTTTCCGGCTGGCAATTGTAAAATGTTTTTACCACTTTTCCTTAACGACAAACACTCAAAATAGAAAGGAAGAGTAGTAACTTAAAAGCTTAACAAACTAACGACTATTAAGGGCTTCGACAACGACGGCTGGCTAAAGGCGAATAAAAACTGGCAGCAAAGTGCTCCATTTTTCTTCGCGAAAAGAGCGACTCGACTCCGACTCGCATTTAACAAGAAAATCACATTAAGCATTTGTTGTTATTGCCAGCGGGTGGGCGGGCGTATGAGCGGTCTGCAGTTGCAGTTGCATTTGCAGTTGTTTGCTAGTTTTTGTTGCACCTGCAACGTCGACGGCAAAATGGGTGAAATGCATAAATCATTTGGCAAACAGGTGCTGCCAAAGAAAGCAAAAGCAAAGGCACCATCGACTGCAATTTTGCGAAGTACCAGGCGAAACACACACGCATCTACACACATACACAGGCATGCGAGGGTGTCCTCGACAGGGATGCTAAAATAAGAAAAGTAGAAAATAGAAGGGAAGGATTTGCTCTAAGATTTGATTTTATTTTCGGATTCTAAGTGAATATTTTTTTAAAATTAGATTTTCCTAACTTATATTACGTAAGGAAAAATCAAATAATTTTAAATAAAAATGAAAAAATGCTTAGTTTTTTAGTTTCTGAATAAATCTTGTTTAATTTAAGAAATTAACAAGAAATTTCTTGACAAATATTGGAAATAATGATATGAAATTGAATAACAGCAAAAATACAGCAATTCTTGATTAAGATTGGGCTACAAATGTTGTAAAAAACAAACGCAGAATAAGCTTGAAATTACAGTTGTACAGTTCCATTAGCTGGAAAAGTCAGTGTGACCAGACATATGCAAAACTAGAGATTGGAGTTTTATATACAGAATTACACTGCGATAAATTGGTATTTTAACCATTCTGTTATAAAAAGTCAAACTTTTTTGCAGTTACTAAATAAATCTAAATTAAAAAATATTTATTTAAGTAATCCTTCATATGCGACTCACAAATAATACCTTAAAGATATCTTAGTTCCCATTTCTTAAAAATCTTAAAACATAGTTAAGCACACTTTTCAAGTAATTTTTAAGCAAAAAAAAGCTTAAAATATAAAAATACTTGCCAAAAAAAAAATGGCCAACTTTGCAGCACAGCTCGCAGCACAAGGTTTCAGGCATAAAGTGTTCAGCTCCTTGTTGCTGCTCCTGCTGATGCTGTTGTTGTGCACTTGCATAAGTCTATCAATAAATAATAAATTTTTACTTCATTGAATTTGCAAAAGCAATACGTTCGATAGACTCCAGGCCGAACGCACTGCTCTCCTGGCCCCAAAAGATTGGTCCAAAGGATGATGTGGATGTTGCTGTTGCTGTTGCTGTTGCTGCTTCTGCTGCTCGTGATCCATTTGCCAGTTGCCATCGAACCATAAATGATGCAGCTGCAGCAGCTCCATGGATTTCAATCCATCGCAACGGCTTGCAAATGTGCGAGCGAAATTCTTTCAAAAATAATACTCCCCAAATGGGATTCCACTCGAATCGTTTATTGTCGAATGGTTAACCGTCAGCGAAGGAACTCTTCACTCGCTGAAAGTAGGGAAAATAACTTTTCTTTTTTTTCCTTTCATAATAATGAAAATTTCTATACAAATCAATTTCCTATGCATGAAAACTAAGATTGCTTTGGTTTTTTTTTTGGCTTTTATATTCAAGTTTTTGGGGCTAACTCGGTTTTGAAGTGCTGCTGCTGGCCAGTTGGTTGTTGTTGATGATGATTGATTGATTGATGGACTTCCTCCGGTCTAACCACAGCCGGGACTATCGTTGCGAGCGCCCTCCATGCAGGGATATGGCTTGCATATGGTATTATTGGGCGCCGGCGTTGCCTGTGCCGCTCCTCCTGTTCCCGCTGCCGCAGCCGCGGCATTCGGATCTGCCAGACGAGCGGCGGCTGCCAGTACCTCTACGGTGCTATAGATATTGGCCACGCCCATGATGACCATGCCACCCGCAGCACCGCTGGGCATGGGTTCCTGTCCATCTGAAGATGAAGGGCAGTAAGGCGATGGCTTGGTGGTCGCCTGCCCCTCTGGCGGCTGACAGTTGGGCGAGCATTGCCGGCCAGGAATCTCGGGGATGGCGCAAGCCTTGCTGGGATGCGGGCCAATGTAGAAGGGATTGAAGGGTTGGTCGTCGGTCTCCTGAGTCATAGCGGTGGTGGCGGTTGAAACGGAAAACGGTTAACGGCAAACGGCTGAAAAATCAAGGAAAAACACAGAGTTATCCACACGGACAAATTTTGGATTTAGATAGTTTTCCGAACTGCTCAGTGTGAGGTTGGCCCCAAAACTGACCCTAACGCCCGAAACTATGACTTAACCCATTTGAAGTTGCCTACGAAGCCTGCTTTTCATTTTCTTAATAACAATGCCAAGGTTCTGGTATCGAAGTCTAGTTTGGGTAACCTTTTCGATTTGCAATGCAATTTTGATAATGTTTAATAGTTAACATTAAACGTTATAGAATCATGTATGGCAGCAGATTAGTAAGTGTTAATTGCTTTGCTAATGGCCTGGAATTTTCCTTTGGCATTTGAATAAATTTGCAAGGCATTTAGAGGGCTCTCTGTGGAAAGTTTACCGAAAAGGCAATTGTCTTGTTCTGTGTATCATATAGTAAATAGGATTAAAATAGGATAACAAAGCCGCTTACAAGAGCTTAATAATACTCCTACACGCACACTCATGCATGCCTACTAACAGACACACACACACACATATGCGCTTAGCTGCTGGCAAATGAAAATTCCTGGTAATAGTTTTCTTTGATATGTATATATTCTATGCCGATCAAGCTTAGGTAATTAGAAGGTTTATGGAAACTACTTTAAGAATGGAAATGTTAATTTTGAAAGAATTTCTTACTTAATTGTTTTTAAAGCGAAGTTTTTGTTTTTAAGATATGAAAAAAGACTTTAATGAGGAAAAATAATCAAATTTAAGACTCTTTTTATAAAATTGTACTTGCAAAAGTTCGTAATAAAAATAATACTTCTTTAACAATTTAAATTCTTAACTTTAACTATCAAAAATTGTTACTAAAATAGTAAGCTAAAAATATATTTCATATATTAAAATTCAATTTAACTTATTTTTGTTTTTTTTTGAAAATGTTTTTGATCCTCAAAAAATGTATTGCCTAACTCTTACATTTTTCTTCATAAACTTCTTATTAACTTAAAGGTTCTGTAAATATTAACTTACATACAGCTTCGATCGGTTAAGAAACATCTGCTTTAGTATCTGATTTATAATATCTTTTGCTTGATTTTACTCGCTTCTCGCAGATGCCGCGACGCTTAAACCCACTCAGCCACTAACTTAGTCACCGCCGTTAAAATGTAAATTTCCAACATGCTACTAAAACCACTAACACCAGCCAGCGACAATTAAAGCCAGCCGCTAGAGAGGATCAGGAGCACGATCAAGGAGCAGGAGAGAGGTGGTGGAGCAGAAACTAATCCAAAGAAGATACACTGAGAAAAACACGATGGCCGGGCCGCAGGTGCAGCATAGCCAGAGACCGAATAGCGCCTACTATACTGGCTTGAATGGCGGTTCCAGTGGTGGGGCAGGAGGATCCTCCGCCGGAATGTCGAGCAGTGCATCGCACACTGGCCTGCATGCCCTGCGCCAGGTGAGCAACGAAACGGAGCTGATCTACCGTGGCAGTCACAGCAATGGAACGGTCAACGAGCTGCCCTCGACCGCCCAGCACCACCTGCTCACCGGTCGGGTGGTACAGCAGCAGCAGCAGGTGCATCACCAGACAGTTAGCAGCATCGCTGGCACCGGGTCAAGTGTCACGGATGCCCTAATAGGCACCATAACCACCGGCGGAGGCGCCTCAGGCAGCAGTTGCTCTACGTCGGCATTGGGTATCAAAAAGTCCAGCACACAGCGCAGCATCGAGATCATTGTGGATGCTAGTCAGTGTGGCAAGGAGTTGGTGGCCAGTGGCCCGGGTTCGGGCACGGCAGGAGCAGCAGCAGCAGCTAGTTCGGGAACAGCTATTATCTCCACTTTGGATGTGGAGGATGTGGAGCAGGGCGGCGGCGGACAGGAGTCCTCTTCTTCGCACCGTAAATCATCGCGCCATCGCCATCGACCGCTCCATCGGCGGCTCATCACCTATCTGCGGAACCTCTTCCAGGGCAGCACCACCCAGAACGGTAAGACGGGGTTCATATGCTGGGCTAGTGCATCCACATCCTTGGCATTTCGTGCATTTTTAGAAGGGAATTTTGAGAATCATATATAAATATATCTTATTAATTGGTTTTATGAATGAAAGAAAGTTTTTAACTTAATTTTAAAAGTTACTTTATATAGAGTTAGAAAGCTCCTTGAAAGAAATTTTCTAATTAGCAGAACTTGCAATGTGTGAATGGGTAACAGAAAACTCACTATATTGCTTAGTTTTTGGTAAGGGTATATATTAACATTTTAATTTTATCAATTTATGCATTAAAAATAACGTCAAACTGTGTTAAAATTCCTTTAAAATTTGTGTCTATTTTATGTATTAAATTATGTTAAATTTTCTTTTAAATTTATCCTCTTTTTGAACTATTTTTAGAAATAAAACAGTTTACAGCTGTAAACTTCTTAGAAAAACTGAAAATTAGTTTCTTAATTTATCAAATTTAAAGCTAGGCATTATCTAAAGATGTATCCCACCTGTATTATAGCTCTTTTTAGCTTATTTTGAGTCAATTTTCAGCAATCTTTAACTCTACAGTTTAGTTTTTCCTTAGTAATGCATTTTCACTTTCAGTTTCGCCTGTCATTGTCCACCTTGTGATTTATTCTTTTTTACGTGTACTCTAAATATATTTTCTTTTCTTTTCGATTTTTGTTTTTTTATTTTTTGTATAGCTGTGAAAGTTCTGCTGGTTGCCTGGCACTGTATCACGCGTAAGCGGCAATGTCTGTACTTTTGCAACCCAGTTAACCCGTTGAACCCGTTTAACCCACACCACCCCCCTAACCACACGCCGCCGCCTTTAACCCGATTGTTTCGCCGTTGGCCATGACTAACCCCTGCCAAAACGTGCTAACCATTTTCAGTTTGGGTCAATTCATGGCCATGAATCCACAGCCGTTGGCCTGGCCGCGCTGCAGATATTTTTTGCGCATCTTGAGGTTGGCAGGCGAGAAAATACTAGAAAAAAAAAATGAAAAAACAAAAAACGCTCGTAAAACGCGCTTGCGGTTTCGCGGCTGTTTTTGTCGCCTGGTCGAAATTTATGCATGGCGAACTTTTTTTTTTTTGCGGGCGGCAAATCATCGCAGCAGCCTTGAATGGATTTCCTATTGAAAATCTATTAGGCGTTCTGAGGGTGTGTACTCGTATGTTTGTTGGGCGACCCTTAAACTTGGAAAACGCTTATCCGTTCTGTTTGTGGTTTCAATTTAATTTAAGAGGATTTTGTTAGACCAAAAGAGATATATGGTAGATGTACGAGAGTAGAAATTGTCATATCTTAAGTTTGAAACATTTTTATATCTTTTTTAAGGGCATTGAAAACTTTGCAGATACTTAATTTGACATTTATTTTAAATTTAAAACTATTTTTATAATATATAAAGTAATATTTAGGTTTAATTATTAAATTTAAGGGCACAAAACAGTTTTTAGGCAAGTAGCTAAATGACAACATGGCGTATGTGTAATAAACACATTACTCATGCGCACTGTTGCCAGCTGTATAATATACTAAGATTGACAAATATGTACTTTTGTGCATAAATCTAACGAAAATAAGAGAATTTACTTAGAAAAACAAAATCTCATGGCCAAGGTTTAATCCATCAAAATTGGATAAGTTTTTATTTTTATTTTGAAAGACCATGGCCGAGTGAAACTTTCGCATTGTTAGTTTTCAATTCGATTTGATTCGATTGAATCTTAAGGACACCGAAAGCCTTCGCTTAACCCTTTTGTGTGCGCTGTGTCTTGCATGATTAATTATGGAAATTGATGGAGCAGCTTCGGCTGCTCGTGCTCCCCAAGTTGAGATTGCATTGATTGTTTACGGCTCAACTATGCCATTGGATCCCCTTTGGATCCTTGCTCCTTGGAAGTTCACTCAGCCATCGAGTCCTTCGAGCAGCTTCTTTTGTCAATTTGTTCGTCCCAAGCCCTGGCTCTGGCTCTTCCTTCTGCTTCAGCTTCGTCTTCGGCTCCGTCTTCATCCCTGTTCATTCTTGTTTTTGTCTGTTCCGCTTAGGTTCTCCTCCCAACCCCCAACAGCCATTCAGTATTTCTTTCCTATCCGATTTTCCCGCCCATTTCTCCACCCATCTCCCGAAGCAGTTGGCAAAATGATGAGCTCAACATAAAAGTTGCATGGCTCATCCTGAAAATTGAATGCAGGAACGGCTAAAGAGGAAATCGATATGGAACACAATATAATATTTGTTTGTCAGAGCTTCGAATTGAATGCTGTACACAGGGAAAACTTACTCTATGTTTATTGAAAATATCTTAATTAACTTTAACTTGAATTCGTAGATTTTTTGGTGGCTTCAAAGTATTAGCTTTTCATTCCTTGTTTAAACTGAAATTTTTGCTTAACTTTTAAGATCAGTGTATAAAGTTAATTTCGAAGGAAGCTTTTGGGACAGTGGATCAGGGGGCATGGCCATGGGCAACTGTTGACAATGACAGTAGACAACAACGCCGACTGGAAATCGAGACTCTCGAGTGAAATTGGACGGGCGGTCTACGGGAACTTTGCATTTCACTTGCCCACACTTGACTTTCTCCACTTTGCGAGAAAGCTTTTTTGGCTTTTTCGCAATGGGCGACGGATTTGCAGCTTGGCCAGCGATGAGAAGCGGCGCAAAAGTTTTATTGAAAAAGTTTGATGAATGACAAGTTGGCTTCCTGCAAGACCAGAGCAGAGACTCCCACAGCTTCCAAAAACATAAGCAACCCCCATTCCACGTGACAAATCACTGGTTTCTGTTATCAAATGACATGGCATTTAAATGTTATTTAAGGCCTACAACTTTAATTGAGTTTAAAATGCGTGCAAATTGAATCTAAATTTGTTTTAGCAGACCAACTTGCTGTTGGCGGTGAAATAACGAGTGTTTGTGGTGGCTATTTGGCAGCCAAATGTGGCAAGTTGCAAATTTAATAAAAGGTTTAGGTAATTGGAAATATAATACCAGTTAGCAGTACTCCTATAGTTGCAGTTATTACTCTCACTCTCTCTTGATCTAAAGTTGTATGTTCCTTTAATTTAGTTCAAGCCCATATTCAAGCTCCAAAGTCAAGGACGTTGAGAATCCTTCGTCAGCCTTGGCCGCGACAGGCATTTCAATTAATTACAAGAAGGGTGGTTGGAAAGTGGGGGACTTTCAGGGCCCAGGGGCCACGAGGGAGATCAGCAGGTCCCAAAAGGGGAGCAGGACTGAGTATCCTGGCAAGGCTAAAAATATACTGACTTAAATGAAAGAGAGCAAAGTTGCAATCGGGCAAAAAATGTGCTGCTGTAAAGAGTTTCCTGGACTTTTGATGTACTCTAAATTTGGAAATATATTAAAATTAATATAAAATTATTAGGAATATATTTTTAAAATATAAGATACCCTAAGCAAGGCGACTTACTAATATTTTTAATATTTATTTTAATGGGTTATTATACAGATTAACCTCGTTTTATAAGCTTAAAGAGGAATTTGTGTAGGAAGATAGATTAATAATAAATTCATTTATAAAGTTTAAACTGAAGGACAGTGAATATTTCCTAAAAACGAAAAGACAGACCGTTCCTTTTTTTTAAACTGATTTTGCCAACTTAAAACCACCCTGTTGAAGGGCATAAAAATAAGACAGAAACAATTATTGTGTGTATGTGCAAGATGAAAATAAATTGGAGCCGCTGCTCGTTTTGGCTTTGGTAATTGGCTTACTCCACTCCGCCGTCGGTTGGCCTCATCCTTCCCCCCTCGTCTTCCCGCAATGTTTGCTTGGGTTTTTTCCACTTTCAGTGCCGCTGGCTGCATTTTATTGTCCTGTCCTTTGCCATCGCCTCTCGCCTCTTTCTTTTTTCCTTCTGTTTTTCTGCCGCCTTATCCTCGGGGCAGCTCAATCAGTTTATTCATCTTTTTCTCGTCCTTTTGACTCGAATTTTTGTTTGCCTTTCTGCGCTTTAATGCACTTCATAATTTCTTCATTACGCCACGCCCCCATATCTACACCCCGCACACACCCACACTTTCGGTGGCAGGACCTTCTTGGGAAGGTAATTGAATTCGTTGTCTGCATTTTGTGGTCGCTTCATTTTGTGCACTTGATGGTCTTATTTTTGCCCGGCTCTGGCTTTAATTATAATTTCATTATTTACTGTTCGTTCGCCGTCGCTGCTGCTTATTGCATATAATTTTTAATGGCCACCGCGATGTTTTAAGTGCAGCAAAGTCCTTTGAGACCTGCTTACCGACTGCCCCATAGCCACTGCCACTGCCACTGCCACAACCACGCCCACCACTGCCACGCCTGCCCCAGCTGCTGTGTCACAGTTTTGTTTGACTGTCTCTTGTTACTCGCTTCTTGGCACACTTTCTCGCCTTTCACCGCCAGCCAAGCGAAAGCGGAGGTGGCAAGGATGTCGGCTTGGGTTTGGTAACTGTGTCGCAACTTGGCGTTAATACCCATTAAATTTGAGTCAAGGGTTAAGATGGGAATGTCATATATCATAAGACATGCTTATATTACCTTGTATTATAAATATTGTATATATATTCAGTGTATTCAACCAGATTTGGTATTCTTCGTTTGATTTTTGATTGAAATTTTTACTTACTATTGGAATTTTTAAAGTTCTTAATTAATTATTTGATTTTGTTCAGTTTAAAATATTTTTTGTTTGTCTTCCCTAAGAACAGCCCAATAAGGTAGGCAACACTTTTATATAATCAGAAAGCAGTTCACAGGAAGAGTAAGATGAAAGCAGTGATTACCACATACTGCTTGCCTTGCTTTAAGCTGTTTATGCTGCCTTTTAAGTTTAAAGCGTTTAGCTTAAATGATGAAATTAAAAAAAAATTAAATATTTTTATTTTAAACTCTCAAATTTGAAAACGATGACCAAGTTATAAAATTTACACCAGCAAGAAAGTGACAAAAAATTAAACCTCTTTCTCATCTTAGCTTATTAAGTAGTATTAACAAAAATCTGTAAAATAAATCAAGTAATTATTTGACTCATAGAAAGCTATACTCTGCCTTCTTAACTAACATAAACACTGTAACTTACCAATTTTTAAGCCTAAAACCCAAACAAACAAACGTTTTTGTTTTCCAGGGCATCAAGTCTTTTATTCAGATGCCTGGCAGTTGCATGCCTCGCCTTGCCTTTCGTGTGCATATGCATTTAAGTGTCAGGGCCTGCCACATTTTAATATATTTAAGCGCATTTGGCGCGGTCGTAAATGAGTTAAGTGCATTTCGTCTCTCACATTATCTGGCCCCTTGCACACCTTTATGTGTGTGTGTGTGTGTTGGTGCTCAGGGATTCGGATTCACATTCGGCCATGCCCCCTTTAGTGGGCTAGCAATTTGTTTTGGCCATTGTCTGAGCCACTGACTGCAACTCGAATCCAACAATCGCGACCGCAAAAATGCGCAATAAAACAAAGCAGAAGCCGAAAAAGTTTTTTCATTAACCCCCTCCCCTCGTTGAAACCAAAAAAAAAAAACGGCTGCAACAATGTGATGGAAAACATGGCACAAAGTTGCACTGCTTTCATTGCATATGTGTGGTGTGCAGGGGTGAGTGAGTGAGTGTGTGTGTGCCGCCTGAAGAGGAAAAAATTATACGAAATTAAATGAGATAAGTGTCGGAGCATTGTCTGTGCGGCAAACTTGCAGTCAAACTTTTTACTCGCCTTCTTTTCTAGTT